GTATTATGAGCATTTGTGTGCCTGTGTGCGTAGCTCTTGCTGCCTGTAGCGATTTCAGAGCCCCGAATTCGCATTTGGTAGATCTTGTGAACTACTCACACATGCATACATACATATGTTTGATTGTGTGTACGCAGAAGCCGCGATGCTCACAAATGATGGGGTGATCATTGTAGAAGCCTTTGACTGCCTTTGTGCCTTTATATGTGCGTGTGTGTATGTGCATGTGTGCAAAAAGCTTTCCACTAGTTGTCTAGTCTATGTGTTCTCTGGTTAGTGGTATATCGCCTGTCAACATTATTTAAAACGTACGCACATCGCTATAGATGGGGCATCGTTTATGGCTAAATATCGATAACTTATCTCTCAGTTTACATGATTTGAAAATTAAATATGAATGCGAACTATATGTGCTCTTGAAATATTAGTTTCTTTAAAAAAGCTTCAAGCTAACTAAGTTTAATATTTATCGAAGAATACAAATTATTGAGATCCATTTTTTCAAAGGCTGCTGCTCAGCTGAGTCAGCAGCTGATCTGCAACTATCAGCTGAGTGTGTTTTTAAATTATGCAAAACGTGGACGCCACGAGAATAGATCAACAATCATATCTTGAATGGAATTGCCAAGACAAAGGCCTCACCATGACATTGGAGCTCTCTTTGCTGACACCCAGGGTTTCCTGCGGGTCAGTGCTCCTATGGTGCGATACAGTAAGCTGGAGTTTCGCAGATTGTTGCGACAGAATGGAGTCCAATTGGCGTTTACCCCTATGATGATAGCGGATTCAATTAACAATAGCGAAAAGGCTAGACAGAATGAGTTTACTACTGGCCTCGATGATCAGCCTCTCATCGCTCAATTTGCAGCCAAGGATGCAATGGAATTCGTTACAGCGGCACAACTCATTTATCCTTATGTGGATGGTGTTGATTTAAATTGTGGCTGCCCGCAGGGCTGGGCAATAGCCAAGGGCTATGGTTGCGGTCTGTTGCGGCAGCCAGAGCAGGTGCGTGACATTGTTCAAAGCTTGCGGCGCACTCTGCCCACAGATTTGAGCGTATCGGTGAAAATGCGTCTCTTGAGCAGCAGCGATAACATGACATCAGTGCATAAGACGATTCAGTTGGCTCAGCAATTGGAGCATTGTGGCGTCACATTCTTGACACTGCACGGACGGACGCCCGCACAGAAGCATTCCAAGGATACACTCAATGTAGAGGCCATGGCCGAAGTCGCCAAATCTCTGCAAATTCCACTGATAGTGAATGGCAATGTGGAAAGCTATCAAGATGCCTCTGAGCTGCACAAACAAACGCAGGCTGCGGGCGTCATGGCTGCCCGTGGACTACTTGCGAATCCAGCCTTGTTTAACAGTGACTATCACCTGGCAACTACAACGCCAAAGATGTGCGTACAACAATGGCTGGACATCGCTGAGTCTGCGGGTGATAATTTGCATTTCCAGTGCTTTCATCATCATCTGAGTTTTATGTGGAACAGCGCAATGAAACGCGCCTTACGCGTTCAATTCAATAGTCTCGGCAGCAGAGACCAAGTCCTGCAGTTCCTGGCCGAGCACTATGATATCCGGCCTAGCTCCAATAGCTCTACCTACCAATATACAAATTGTACTTATACCCACTTCACTCCACCCAAACATGCTCGTCACCTGACCGTGGAGGCGGATGATAGCGGCTGGGATGCTACCAGCGATGGTAAATATTTCACAGATTTCAAAAGTCAGCAGGTCTCCAGCGAAAACGGGGACGATCTTGATCTGGGTGGACTATTCCTAGACGATGACTGATGTGTGATTAAACTCAATTAGATATAAGATTATTTGTATTTTTGAGGTTGTTTGTGGCTACCATTAAATGTAAATAAAATAAAATTTCTTAAAACTACGTTAACACATAACGTACTTTGAAACTTATGCAAAGCGGCTAATATCTATCACTATCTCTGGTTAGTGTATTTATTTTAAACTCGTTTAACAGAGCTACATAACAGCATTCTGTTGTATATGTATATCGATAGTACTCTGGAATATTTACACCTTAGGTCTGATAAACTGAAATTAAATAAATCTTGCTGCTAAAGACTGAAATCTATTTATTTCATTGTAATAATTATAAAAACAATCGCCACAAAACGTCAATTTTTACTCATTTTTTATTCATACTCTACTCGATAGTCGGTAGCTTAAAAGTATCGGTACATCAAGCGTCAGCCATCACTAACAACAAATCAAGAAAGCAAAACAAAAGACCAAAAAACATTATAAAATGCGTCGAAGGGAACTACAGACTATACAACTTAAACTCTCTGAACTCAAAGAGTATGAGCAGGCCAAAATGGAGCGTGCCAAAGCACGTCAACAGGTGTCGTCGCCACGCACACCCACACCCACCTCGGACAGCGACATTATGTTACTGCCCTCGAGCAGTGTGCCGACAATGTTATTTGCTAACAACAGCAACAATGCGGACGATGAAGCTGAGGGAACGGCCAAGGAGTCAAGGGATTCATAAGTTGGGCTTATAGTAATGGTAAGTTGATATTTCATATTTATGTTAATTTACATTAATACTCATTATTACCAATGCTGTTACTGCTATTGTTGTTGTTGTTGTTATTGTTATTCTGAAAACGCACCGTCTCAAAGCCATCGACGAGTATCTCACGATCCTCGGTCTGTTGACGCTCACGCAACCATTGCTCACGCACCGGCACATAACGACGCAATCCCGGCCACTTGCGCCAACAGCGCCGCTTATAGAGCAGCCAAACCAGTGATAATCCGCATCCAAAGAGGAAACATAACAGAAATATGCTTACGCCACGCACATGCGAATGAGTCTCTTCGTTCCCCTCCTGCGCGTTTTCCTTAGTCTTAGCGGTCTGCAGACCTTCGTTAGGAATCTCCGGCGCTATCGTTGGCGGCATTATGCTTTGCTCCGCGTCGCACCACGTAATTGTCACATAGTTTGTGATGACATCTCCGGCTAGCGAATGAACGCGCACGGCACACTCGTTGTAAGTGCCGTTCAATGAGCTTTTATGCACGTAATTCGCCAGGGCGTGCTGACGTCGCGTTATGCAGCTCAGATGCGTTTCTGCCACCTGTTCGGACACATTGATGCGATAGTGCAGCACGTAGTTAACAATCAATCCATTCGGTTGATCTGGCTCTGCAAAGCGCACAATGTAGTCCATTGTTTTGGGAACACGGCATGCCATTATCAGCGGCAAGTCTGCGCCAATTGTGAAATTTGTACGCTCGTGCACCATCGTGGAGCTGCTGCAGCCGAGCATATTGCAAGCCTGCAATTGCAAGGAGTATAAGCGATACCGCTTCAACTGGCGCAGTTCATAGGCCGTCACATTGGCGTCCAGGCGCAGCTGTTTTCCCGCCTTTGTCTCCACGGGCGCGCAGTTGTCCGCATCATCCAGACTGCAGCGATACATGTCAGCCATTTGGCTAATGAAGTCCTGATCGAGCGCTTGATTTGCCTGCCGCGCACAGCATGCGTCGTAGTCATCTTGTTCTTGACGCCATCGAACTGCTTCCATGTCCTGCCTGGTCGCCGGTTGCCGGCAAAAATTGCGTTCATCCATGTAGGCGACATCGTCTGCCAGTTCATGCACGGTTAACATATAGTACTCCAGCTCTTTCCCATTCAATCGCAGTGCCAGCGTATTGTCCGTCTTCTTGATTACGGCCAGTGAAGGAGGCTTCGGTATATCCATGTGCGTTTCCACGTACATCAAATCGCTGCGCGCATCGTGCTGCGCATCGCCGCCAAACGTACGCAACAAGCAGGCGTAGCGCGTATGCGGATGAAGCTGGTCCAGCTGATAGCTGTAATGGGTGCCATTGTCTTTCAGATCGTCCACAAAGAGCAACAGTCTCTGCCAATTGATGCGCGTGCAGACTGGCGCTTCCAGTTCGCTTTGCTCGACGTACTTTGTGCCCAACGGCAAGGTTCTATAAATCAGCTCCAGCTCCACGCTCATTTGCGATTTCAGCCAGCTGAGTTGCACTGTGCGATGCGATGTGGCCTATAAAGCAAAAATTGAATCAACATTTACTTAAAATTCTTGTATAGAGAGGAGTGTATGCAGGCAGACTCACCTGCACGATCAACTGCAGCTTGGCTGGACCGCAAAGCACCTCCTGATCGCTGGTCTGTAGCTTGTCCATCACCTTGTCATGTACGACGCGATCCTGAAACTCTTTAATATGTCTGTTGCACAGCTTATTATTGCGATCCATGTACATGCCGCCGGTAACAAACTCCAGCTGCTTGGTGGGCTCCCACAGTTCAGTGAGCTGCTTGTTGTCATAAAGCACGAAGGCGAAATGACGATTCTCGAGAGGGTCGCCGTGTATGCGACGCAGGTTGCTCAGAAATTTCAAGCTGCTAAGCTGGGAGGCACTACAAAGAATCCATTCAATAGACAGTCCTATTTTTGGGAAGACATACGAACCGATAGATCTTCAAATGTCCACGTATTTCGCGTAGACTGCTGAAACTATGCTCCAGCTGCTCCTCGTTGACCTTGTTGCGTATGGTGATGATGAGGCTGCTGTTAACAATTTGACAGCCGCGCAATTCCTCGGCAT